CTTTTTATGGCTGAGTAATACTCCATTGTGTGTTTGTGTGTGTGTGTGTGTGTGTATACATATAACATCTTCTTTATCCATTCCTCTGTCGATGGACATTTAGAAAACCCCATTAAAGCTTATTAAGCTTACTTGCCAGCTGTTTCCAACAGAAGACACCTGACAAAATGCTACTGTGCTCAGCAAATCAGAGCTTAGCAAGTCACCCCTAATTATGACCGGACTGTCTGAGAAACAAAAGGGAAGCCCAAATGGCAAACAAATTTACAGTGTAAATCTGCTAAAAGAAGCCCACACTCACTAACTAGGGTGATATACCCTTTCTTGTAGGGGTGGGGGGCAGGGGGAGGTAAGAAAAGAGAGTGAAAGATCAGAAAAGGGACCAAGCATTCGTTCACTGGTTCGTTTATTTACTTCTGAAGAGAAAGAACATCACCACAGGGTGAAGCCAAGCTACAAAGTGAATCTCATTTTTCAAACAAATACATTTGTCTCCAAAAGGTATAAGTAAGATGGGAATAGTCAGTCCAAAAGATGAATAATAACAGATTAAAAAAAAAAAATCCTAGGAAGCAAGAGCAAACGACTGATGAGGAAAAAGCACACCTGCTTGGCAATCTGCTGCGATTGATTTTAAAAAGACAAAATAGCATTATGTGTAGAGCAGGCTGTTAACACACGGCCTTGTTAGACTTTTTTTAAACTCTAAGATTTTTTTCCTAATGTTTTCGAAGCCCACTGACGCTCAGGAAATTGGTGTAATGGGTACTACCCTCACCGGGCCAGTCAACAAGGCATCTTTCCTTCTTGAGCCAGAGAAGTAATAGAGAAGTCTTTGGTCTCTCTTGATGGACTAAGCACTTCCAAAGAGAAGCTTAACGAACCATGAGTGAAGCGGCCACACTGGCAGGACGCCGACTCCTGCAAAGTGAGCTGAGAGCTGTGCAGCATTGAACTCATAGGTTTACTTGGTTAATCCAAAGCAACTGACTTTGACTGCAATCTTAGCTTTCTAACTAGTTGGCCCGGTCAAGTACAAGCACCCTATGAGCACAATCACCAGAAATTTCCACTAAGGAAAAGACATAAAATGATGCATTTGCTGATTACAAAGTTACTACTAGCGGGACCCACACATTAGACCATGACTACATGACTGACCACCTGAAAAATTAAAGAAACAGCTTCTCTGAGCCACCGGGCAGCTGAACATGGCTCTACAGACAGGACAATGGAAGGGCCGCCATTTTTCATTCTGAATGGAACCCATTTTTCATTCTTTCCTTCTCAAAGGGGCACGTGCACTTTCTTGCCTTGGGGCAAACAATACACCAACCAGATACACCTGATGACGTTCTTCGTGTAAGACAACTTCCAAGTCTTGTTAGCAATATTTCACACGGTAAAGGAAAATCTCCCTGTGATGTACTTCTGACGGTACCCTAGCATTCACAGTGGTTTAAAAGCCACTGAGAAAGACATGTCAAATGCGAATGAAGGAAAATCACTGAATTTGTATCCCCAGCACCAAGGTTACGGGGCCAAGTTCTTAGTGTAAATGACCCTAAAGCCAACGAAATAGTCTTGGAATTATAAAAATACTAAAAATTGCAGCAGGAAACACTAAACATTTAGCTCGAAGTGTCAAGAACAACATGGATAGGCCCACAATTCACCTGGGACCCTAGAAAGCACTGGATTTGCTAGAATGATCGGGTTTTCTATCCAAGGGCCAATCAATCACTGCAGGGACCAAATGCAGGTAATCGTGAACTCCAGGCTAGCGTCTCCTTGCTATATATTCGGCCCCTTTAGGAGCTTTGATCTTCGTCTGCAGCTGGGCATCCCGATCCCACTTAAGCACAGGAAAATTGAAGCTATTATCTGTCATACATACAATTGGAGCTGTCAGGGGGTGTGGGATTATGCATGCTCTTTCAGACAACACACTCATGTACAGGGTAACAGAGGAGCCATCTGAGGGCTACCAGACAGCTGAATCTAAAAGTCCGATGTGCCAGAGGGGACAGCAGCCTGAAGAGTGAATGCAGGACTTGCCTGGTGGCGTAGTGGTTAAGAATGCACCTGCCAATGCAGGGGACACGGGTTCGATCCCTGGCCTGGGAAGATCCCACATGCCTCGGAGCAACTAAGTTCGTGCGCCACAACTACTGAGCCGGTGCTCTAGAGCCCGCGAGCCACAACGACTGAGCCCTGTGCCACAACTACTGAAGCCTGCGCGCCTAGAGCCCGTGCTCTGCAACAAGAGAAGCCACCGCAATGAGAGGCCCGTGCACCAAAACGAAGAGTAACCCCCGCTCGCCACAACTAGAGAAAGCCCACATTCAGCAATGAAGACCCAACACAGCCAAAAATAAAATAAATTTTAAAACGTTGAATGCAGTACCTCTCCGCACAGGGAGGGGTTACAGGGTCACCCGAGACACTGGATGCCCCACTGCACTTAATTCATCTCTAACCACTTTTGAGAGAGACAAGACCTTCCAAAGGAAGGCCTTAGTATCTCAGTTTCCAACATATTTTGGGCTTGACAGAATATGTAACTTAGCAATTTAATGATTATGTAGAGACCCTCGAACGACATTTGAGGGACAATTTCCTCATCTAAATGCACAAGATGTGTTCTAACACTTGGAAGCAGGCTGGTGTACCAACGACGGCACTGTATGTCCGGGCTCCTGTTACAGATCCCTGAGAGAGGCCTTGTTCTGGACAGGGCGTTCACTGACTCACGGGGACACTTTAGCCAACATCGCTTATGGAGGCTGCATACTCAGGACAGATAAGCCACTTGTACAGATCGGACCTGACCTGGCTCACGGATCACAATGCAGAACTCAACGCCGGGCTTCAGAACAGGCTCCTTATTCCACGTGTGGCTGGTTTACTGCTGGTGTGGGTTGCATCCCCCAAAGTTAATTTAGCTTTTGAAGTCCACATGTTCCATAAGAATTGTACATTATTTTAATGAGAGGCTAATGATGACTTCTAAGTAGCTAAGCAAATCAGAGTAGGGTTACAGGAGGGCAGGCGGGCCAAGGGGGCAACGTTAGAACTGCACGTTTTTATCATTTTTATACAAACATATATTTATTGAAGTACGCTGATTTACCACGTTGTGTCTCAGGTGCACAGCACAGTGATCCCGTTCTCTATGTGTGTATATTCCTTTTCGGATAATTTTCCCTTTAGGTCATTACACAATACTGAGTATAGTTCCCTATGCTATACAGTACTGTAATTTTAAAATTAAGCTCCGAACCTGCAGCGGCACATGGCTACAATTAGCGGACGGTAAGAGGAACAGCTTCGGGGAGAGGCTTGGAGCACATAAGCCCACTGCTCTGGGGACCCCAGCACACTACTGCGAGCGGCCTGCACAGGGCCTTCTGGAACCAGGGTGCCACGGGCACAGGAGCTGCCGGGAGCGGCCTGACGTGTATGACGGCTCTCCTCTTCATCTCTTCCATCTCGAAAGGCTTCCTTTCCGCATCTGGAGGTGGCATCTGAGGCACAGGTAGGATGCTCGGTAGCAGGCAATGACAAGGATGCTCAGCCCTGACCCACGTCCGTCCCCTCCTTGAACTCAGCAATGCAGGGGACAAAACAACGGAGAGAGAGCTTACCTCCTCTTTTCTGCACTTTGAAGATTTAAAAAAATTCCTTTATCCGAATCACTAGAGTTAATAACTTTGGAAATAGTAAACAAGAATCATCTGAGGGCTTGGGTCAGCTTTCAGGAACACGTCAGGCTTCCCCAAGGGCTTATTTTAATTCCAGCAGCCCAGTCCTGCCCACTTGAACTCCGGTTACTGGAAAAGGCATTTGCCGTCAAAGAAACACCACACACGCAGCTTTAAACCAACTGTGTGATTTTTATTGATGGGCGACAACTTTATACTCCTAGCTATCACTAACTGTGTACAATTAGAGACGCGGCATCGTAGAAGAGCAGACAGCAGAATTAGACAGCAGACGCAGGGAATTATCAATCTTCATCATTTTGCCCATTTTTCATTATGTGTACACAGAAGCATGAATGCAATTTGAAATCTTTTAATGGCAATAAAGTTACAATCACCCATCTATGTGACTGACATCTTAACTCCAAATATTTGATCTGCAATGTGTACGTAAGCAGCTTCTCATCGCACGATTATTAAAATGTATTTTTCCTATTAGGAACCAGCAACTCATTTTATGTGTTTGTTTATCTTTTGAAGTAAGAACTATTTCTTCTCTGATAACTGGCTCATTTTTATCATTTATCAAAAACTAAAGGGTGAGGGAAGAAAGTGTGATGGATTAAAAAATTTATTTTTTTAAGGAAAGATAAAATTCATTTTCACAAATTTACAAGTGTTGTTGCTGGTGCAGGATTTATTCTACTATGCAGTTAGACTGGGAATCAAATGCAAGTTCCCCTTCTTACTCAGGAATTGGCATTGTTTCGGAAATGTGGATTTTGTGTTTTTGCTTAAATCAGGCGACAGTCTGTCTCGACCAGATGACTTTGATTTGGAAGCTAGAAGTCAACATGAACTATGTTGTGCACAAACCCCAGGCGTCTCCTTTCATTCTAGCCCATTTCTGCAACAGGAAGAAAGAGTTTCTCTCTAAAGAGCCACTAAAGAGAGGAGGGGAGTCGGTGAGAGCCGGTGCTCTACAAGCAGCGTCGGGCACACACAGCGGCGGCTACAGCAGGTCCACGCGGCGGTAATACAGGAGGTAGGCTGTGCGCTCGGCAGCGGGCTTCACCACCTGGTACTGGTTAATCACCTTGACCGTCTGGTCGTCGATGCGCAGCCAGCCATTGAGACCGATCTGGAAGACGTCCGTGGTGTAGTGGCCGCCCGTGGCGCTGCTGCCGTGGTGGTAGACCACTGCAAGAGAGGGCCCGGGCGCCCGTGAGAGCGGCTCCGCACACCAGCGCCTAAGGTGCCCGCCTGCCCCCGCCACAGACCTGCCTGTCCCACGAAAGGCCTGGCACCAAGGCAGGTGGGACAGAGAAGTGGGGTTATACAAAGCAATGCTGTTTCAACTCAAAACCGTTCAACAATTTACAATACAAAGTCATACATCTACATCTTAATAACATATTTAAAATGCTCAATACCTCACAAACTATGAAAGAAATGTCAACTAATGGGGTCGTCCCATCTGTCAGCCCTGTAGGCAGGCTCGTCAGCCGCCTTAAGACTTGATACAGGAGACAGTCCCCTAGGAAGGAGGACACAGAGACGCTCCCTGCAGAGCCATCAGCCAATGTCCCTCTGGGAACGCACACCGAGGCCCAAACATCAGGCCCTGATCCAGCCAATTCCACTTCTAGACTGTTCCAACAGAGTATCTGAATCTTGGACAAAGTGAAAACATGGAAAAGCCTATATTCACACTCGAAGGAATGCTGAGTGTATTACATTACAAGAAGGTGAATTTTTTCGTTGACCTGATTAAAAGTTTTTGGCGGTGTAAGAATATGCTTACATTACATGAAAAAAACAAGAATCTGAGGTTTTCTGTGGACTGTCACCCGTGACAAGGACAGCACTGCCCCAGGAGGGTCGCCAGCGCAGTTAGCTGGGCTGACTGGGCAGTTGAGTCACCCTGCAGACACCGGTCATTGCTCTTTTTTTCTTTTAAAAAAAATTTCCAATTTTTCTACTACCATGTTTTAACAGAAAAAATTACCTGCCATGTACTTGTTCATTAAAATTGTGTAATTCAAACAGGAAGCCTTAGTCAGAGGTGTAAAACAAATACAACTGTCGGAAGATGCTGAAAAGGTATTAAAGACAGTGGAAGGGCACATCCTCCCCCTTCTATGCAGAGAAGGGGCTGGGAGGTGGCTGGGCCAGCAGCAGACCTGACCCTGTGTGAGGGAAACAGCCTCCAGTGACATTCCGGGGAGGGGGGCTGCAGTGTGGCCAGGGTGAGCTGTGCGTTGCCGTGAGTGGCATGAAGGACAGTCACTTGGAGAGAGGGGCACAATCTGGTACGAAATTTCAGCAATAAATAGGCTGAACGTCAGCGCGCTCCCCCACTTGTAGGGACATCCAAATCCACCCAGAGCCGGGCTCTGCGCAGAGGCCATTCTGCTGGGGCTCAGAGAACACTGAGGCCCTGGCCCGCCGGGGACGAACGCGACTGGTCGCTGAGGGACAGCAAGACTGTTGGGCCATCAAGTGGGAAACCAGCAACGGAACCAGCAGCAGCTCACGGCTGCATCGAGTCCTGCAGGTCACAGAGATGGACAGGCTGCCGCAGGGCAAGGGGAGCCCCGACACCAGCATGTCCCTCTGACCCCAAATCCAGCTGTGGGGCGTCTGTCCTGGATTTTCACCTCTAAGACCTACCAGACTTGGTTTTGGTTTTTTAAAGTGACCAGGTCAGTAGGATTTAAAGGACCTGTGGGTTTAACTGATTTGCGTTTCCTCTACGACACTTCATTTTAAATATTCAGAAGAGAAGCGCTCTACCCGTATGCAGGTTTCTCAAGCAGCAGACCTGTACCTAACATGGTGATGTGTCACAGACGCCCGGCAAGCCCACGTCACAGAAGCAGAGCTGAGAATGAGTTTTCCAAAAGCTCACGCGCTATATTAACTGATTTTCTTTGTCCCGCAATCAAAACCATTTTTAAAAGCACCTCTTTACTCACAGTTTACAGAAAACTGCAACCAATCCGGTGACCGTATTTCTGAGATTAGAAGGCTCAGATTCAGGGGTGCAGGCGAGAGTGACTCCAGAAGAAGCCCCGGGCCGGGGCGGGCGGGAGTGGTAGGGGTGCACTCACACCAGGGCCCCCTGACCAGGAGACAAGACTTGCTAACCCTGCCCTTGATCATCACCTTGCCCTGACAGGGACCCCAGGGAGGCTGCAGGGAGACTCGGAGAAACACGTCATCACCCTGGGACCTCAGTGCCAAACCCCAGGGAGCCAGGCTGGACCCTGGGGGCCCTCTGGTCTCAGAGGAAGACCACAGAGAGGCCTCCGAGCTGCCAGCCCAAGGCAGGTCAGGGGGAGGGTGGCTACACGCCGGGAGTGTGTTGCCCACCAGGTCCCAGCAGGCTGGGGTAAGGCCGTGATCAGCCACCTCCGGGGAGAAGAGCGAGTCGGAGGGAGCAGGTCCTGGTGGGAAGAAAGGGCCAACCGGGCCCAACACCTTCTAACCTGGCACCCGACCCACCCAACGACCAGGGCCCAATCCAACATCCCAAGAGCTCAGGGGTGGACCGAGGGCAGGAGTGTGAAGCTCTGCTCTGCCACTTAAGGGCACAGAGCGGCCAATGTTCCTCCACGAGTCTCAGTTTGTCCTTTTACAGAATGGGGATAGCGCCACATACCTCCCAGGACGCTGTAAGGACTAAATGAGATAGTACATAAAAAGTATCCAGTGAAAAGGCTCAATGAACGTGTGAGGGCTAACAAACAGCAGTCACTACAGACAGGCTCCGCAAAGGCAACACAAGGGGAGCGGTGGGAGCGCAGCTGGAAAACTCTAAGACAAACGGCCAGGGGCGCAAACACAACTGCTGCGACCAGCAACTCTTCAAAGACACAGAAGGCCTCAAAGGCGCAAAAGACTCGGCTGTGAAAGAGAAAGGAGGAGGGAAGGACAGGAGGCGGAGAACGTGGATGGGCTCCGCGGGGAGCCCGGGGAGGGGGGGGCAGGAGGTCGTGGGCGGCTAAGGAGCCCGCGCTCCCCTAGCCTGGCTGCGGCCACGCCTCAGCACCCACTCCTACAGGCACCACGACCGCGGCAGGGAGGGTTCCCAGCCTGGCAACCCCACACCTCTGGCTCCAAGACAGAGACAGTCGAGTTAGACGACGTCTCACGTTGGGCTGAGCTTTTAGAGCCAAGAGAATAGTCTGTCAAATTCCAAACACACCAAATTTTAGGTAAAACGCACATTTTCAAATGATTTCCGGACTTATAAAGTCCACAGGGATACCAATAATCTATTCTCTACGTTAAGTGGCATTACAACAAAATTGTGCCAGGGTATAAACCTTTTCATCGTTGCTTTCACAGGAAAATGTCGTACAAATTGACTTACCTGCAAATAGCCTATAGGTTCTGTGGCATTTAAAATTCTTATTTTTAACCCCTGGAGAGAGCAGTTCTGAAAAACAAAATATCAAGAGCTTTAATCTATAAAAGCGCTGACACACAGAGCTCCCAGAAAGGGGCAGACAGCAGCCTCCAATCAACTAACCCACCCAGTGGACCAGGGAGACCAAACACAACTCCATCCCCTCATTTGCGTAACAACTGAGCAGCGAGGAAGACCAGCTGCAGGGTAGTAACGGAGGTCACCAGAGCCCACCCATCAGAGGACAGGGGCATATACTGAGCCTCTAGCCCATGCTAGAAACCCCTTACAAGCAGATGTTCTAAAAAATGGGGAAGAAAAAAACAAAAGCAAAGCTGCCCTGGAAAGCCTAAGGTTTAAAATGTTTTACACGTGAGTCAGACCACAAAACTCCAATCAACAGTAAGATGATTTTCGGCTGGCGTTTCTTCCCCTTTGCGGTCCTCAAACGGACCATGAACTGGCACAGGAGGCAAACCTATCAGCCGAAGGTGGCAACTCGTGAGAACAGGGCTGAGAGCCAGAGTCCGAATCTTAGGGGGAAGGAAATGCAACGTGCCTGGGTGCAGGTGAAGCGATGGTGATCCCAGGCCCACTGCCCGGCAGGTCCCAGTGCTGGGCAGCGTGGGGAGGGAGGAGGGAGGAGGACGGCAGTTTGCTCCTCCGGGAGACCAGGGAAGACGGCCCATGTGCTCTTTTCTGCTCTCCAGGCCCCCAGACACTTTGAGCATCGCCTCTAGCTCTTTACGCTCCTGATCGAACTTCACTGTTGCACAGAACATTTCTCACAAATTCTGAAGCTTTCCTGGAAAGTTTTCCTTCAAGCTCACTTTTAGCAAGACAACCAGGTGCTTTCACCACGATGTGCCCAAGCTGCCGAGCCCCGGAGACCCGGCGGAGACCCGGGGCTGGGGCTGCAGCTCTAAGGCCGGGGTCCCTGCCGCCGGAGGGCAGGGGAAGCCCCGGGGCCCGCAGGAAACACGCCCCACCCGCTAAAAAGCCCCGTTAGGCAGGCTGCTCCACGCAGCTGTTAACGCCTAGTATGAGGAAGGGTATTTCCTACCACTGACCCATAAACTTTTTATATTTAGTATTTTTCTCACCTAGTAATACTTTCACATGGTTTATTTTTGCCTTTATTTTTAAAAGGCCATTTTAGTGAGAAATTTTAACCTAAAGGTCTATTAACAGTCAAGAAATTTAAAACAAAAAAGTCATGAAAGAGCTTCTGAATGCTGACATGACACAGAAAGTGCTGAGGCATCAAGAAGCTGGCTGCTTCCAGGACTGTCATCACAGACGCTCCTGCCTTACAGTCGTTACCTTTACTAATTTCCAAGTCCACAGGATATTCAATGTTCTTGATAAGCTTCTGACATCCACCTGTCTTCTCGTAAACAAACCGTTTCAGGTGCAGCACGAGGACAGGAGGGAGCTTTTCCAGAGTCACCCTTCGACTGATCTCCACCTGAGACACACAAGCACACAGGTAACGCCATCTTACTCCGAGCGGCAGACGCCACCCCACCTCTCGCTCCAAGACTCAAATGCTCCGGGGCAATGCTTCTCAAAGCTTCCTGAGTCACAGGGTCTCTGGAGAATCGAATGGGATCTTTTGAGAGGTACTGACCTTCCTCTTAGAAAAGTGCATATATCCCTACAGACACAACTGCAGGGGGTCCCAAAGGTCCCCGAGGCAAGTTAAGAACCTTTGTCCGAGGGCATTAAATTGGCATAAACATTTAGAAGCTAACTTAGTAATACCTTGAATTACGTATGTATTAACTTATTTTTTAGTGACTCTCACAGTACGGACAGAGCTGAAGCCAATGTGTTTCTTGAATCAGATGCTCTAGATAACTCCAAGGCTATTTAGTGTAACCATTGGTTTTATAACAGCTCCGCTTTTATCAATTCAAAATGCCCCTTATGAACTTCCACGGTCTACTGAACGCTGCTTTTTATTAAAATGCATCTTCACAAGCAAACTTAACCCCTTTATGCACTGTTTGTTCTCTGTATCTGCAAATGTGTTGATGCTTCCGGTATTTAGACGGAGAATACTTTCGGTAGAAGTACTTGTCCACGTAACAATCCGAAAGACAGCGGCATATAATAAACACCCAGAAAGCTTTCGGAGGACTACACGCCTATCTGGCTGAAGGTACCTGAAGCGAGCCTAGCGGTCACCGCCACCTGGTTTATTAGTATTAGGGCTGAAGACCCTTTCAGGCCTGTCTTCCCACCCAGACTGAGGTCCCAGGCATGGAAATGGCCCGATCACCTCGACATTCCCATTGAGTCTCTGCAGTCCAGTGTCTCACATCCAACAAGAATTGTGAATGAAAAAAAGCATGACTCCAGTTCCACAGTCAAAACCAGCGATGACGATGTAAGACTCCAGCTTCCTCACTTATAAAATGATAGTCAGACTAAAGTACCTCTGGGATGGTTTCTCAGTGCTAGTGACGCGCGATTCTGTTCGTTAAGGGGCTAATCTCAAATCCTTAACTGAGTGTTCCGCGTTTCCAGAGAAACTGAGCCACACTTTCTAACACCCAACAAACCCAGACCTTTTTATTTAGCTAGTATTTTGTATAATCATATTTTCCCACAATCTTCCTGTGTTCCCACAGAAAAACAACTTTTGACCTAAAAACCTAATAAAATTCAAGTGGGTACTTTGAAAAGTAAATTAAAAAAATCACATTCCAGAAAATGTGTTACTTGCTCTTCACAGACACGCTGTACAAGCTCGTTCCTCAGACACCTGCTTCCACAGCCACGGAGCGAAAACGGCCAGCAGCCTTCTCTGCCGTCTTCAAGGCTCCACCGAGATGCCACTTCTTCCGTGACTCCTTCCTGCAAACCTGCCACCTAGAATCCATCACCTTTTCCTCACCCTCCTCTGACCCCGGGCCAACAACCACAGCCACCGCTACCTCAGTCATCGCGCCCCACCCACCTCTGCCCAAACAGCAGTTTAACTGCAGCAGGGGCAAACGAGGAGAACAAACATATCCTCAGAGGGCTGTCCTGGGAGCGCGGGACAGGGTGCCCCCCTCCCCAGCAGGATCAGTGGCTCCAGTGGGGAGGGGCCAGGATGGCGAGTCCACCTCTGGAGTCATGGCTGCCCCAGACGAGCAGGTGGACAGTCCCACAGCCAGTACGTGACCCGGCCTCCCGAGAACAAGTACCCACTCTCTCTCTCCCGTTAAGTTCCACCATTTCTCTAAGGAAAAGCTGCCGGGATTCTCTTCCGGCTCCTACCACTTTTACTTTTTGAACAAAATTGTCCACGAGAAGCAATCAGAAAACACGGGGTAGAGCTAGGCCTAACTTCTGCAGATGCCCCGAGAGGTTGGCTTGACCAACCCACAGCAGACGGACAGAAGCTCTCCACACCCCGCCTCTGCTCCTCTTCACGTGGATGGAGCCCGAGCTGCAAGGCAAGGGCAGGGCCCTTGGCCCCACGAGGTGCTGGCAGGTTTCCTACGCTGGGCCGTGCTGGTTCACCCTGTAGCCATCACACACGGCTACTGAAATCGGGCCTCACAGGAACACTCTGAAGTGTTCAAAAAGGCACTGCCCTAGCCAGTCTACATTCATCTCCCCAACACACCTCTATGAATGCACAGCCACGACCTAGGATACAAAACAGAGAAGGCACGCTCTACAGCGGATGAGAAGTCGGGCCTAACTGGCGCCATCTGGACGGCCAGCAGCTAACGAGCCCTCAGAGAGCAGAGAATTATCGCCTCTCTCGACGGAGCCGACATGCTTCCTCTTGACTCCTGAACGCTGAAAGACTCAAGACTTTATCTTTTTCACAGATCAAATCAAAGAGTAACAGGCACCAGAACAATTACTTTCTATTTCTCAACGTCCTTGAAGATCTGCAGTCAAATGCAAACCAGATTAGAACATCTTTTAGAACATCTTTTATCTCCTAACCATCTCATGAAATTGTGCTCTATGGTATCAGGAATGTGAACGAGCTATCGGCCTTTGTCAGAGGTGGTATTCACTCTATGGTGCCATGACTGGACGGCCAGCAAATGAAACGCAGCTCAGAATAAATAACCCCAAAGATCGTGACCTGTGTTTCATGACTTAGAACCAAGGGAAGTTGGGAGGATCAACCATTTCATTCTCAGAATGTGGAAACTTTCAGTCCAAAAAAAAAAGGTAAGCAACCGATTTGAGAGGCAGAGCTGAAACCCACTTCTCCTCATTCCAGAGTCTGTGCTCTTTCGCCCACCCCAGAGGGCCTCTGGATAAAGGTCCAAGACCAACTGTGAACGTACCTCTTGTTTGGTTTTGGTGGTATAACCCTGGACAGACTCTCTTGCCACCAGGCTTTCCAACGCGTCCTGGACGGTGCGTACCTTGTCCGACTGGATGTCCAGCTGCAGCGTGAAGAACGGCTGCAGGGTGGCAGATTCTTTTGAACTCTGCTGGTAAACCACAGACCTGAAAGTGGAAAACACACCGCATCTAAGAGCTCGCCTTCCCACTCTCCCTGAGGTTATATGCAGCAGGACAAGAGGAACAAACACTGCAAGCGAGATTATTCAGTATCACTGCCAGAAGACCAGAGAACAGAAATGCTAAAAACACACCGAAGAATTTTAAAATAATTCCACTCAATACCACCTCGAAAGAATTTCTAGCAACTCAATCCACCAGCTGAAAATTTTCCCAGCTTAATAGCTCTGGAAGAAGGCCTATTTCACCTTCCAAATGCCCCCCCTCCACTTTATTTAATGCACAGATTAGCAAAGGAGACAATCTTCCCAGAGTCAAAATGCTGACACTTTTTATCCTCTCAGGCGTCACAGCCTGTTGTAATAAAAAAGAGGAAACCCTGAGGTAAAAGGAATGATTTGGATAGCAATTCCCCTATGAAAACGACTTTACAAAGGAAGGGGAGCAGGGTGTGTGCGACAGGAAAGTGGCCACCACCCTCAAGGAGGCGGCTGCCAGCTAAGCCTTGCTTCCTTAGCTGGGTGTTCATCTCACTTTTCTTTGTCCAAGTCTTTCTGAGTAAAAATTTGTGTTGGGCCCACGTCTCACGTAGCCTCAGCAAGGAGATGTTCCAGGAGTTCAACGTGGGATTGTCTCTCTGCAGCCTGAGTGCCCCAGTTTATACACGAATAAAAGGGGTGGACAGGTAGTCAGACTGCGAAGGGCAGGTGAGCGGCTCTCTTGCCAGCTTTCCGTCTCACACACTGCTTTCCCGACACACAGCACAGGAAGCACCTCCAGGCTCCCTGTGAGGGGGAAGCCTTGAGGGGGCGGCCGTTCCCTTGGTTCCAGAGAGGAATAGTGGGAAAATAGTGGGAACAGCAGTAATGGGCCTGGACTTTACCAAAAGGGTGGACAAGGTGGAGAAAGGTGCTGGTCTTTCTGGGTAACTGGAAAAGCACCAAAAGAGCATGAATTTGGGCTTCCCTGGTGGCGCAGTGGTTGAGAGTCCACCTGCCGATGCAGGGAACGCGGGTTCGCGCCCTGGTCCAGGAAGATCCCACATGCCGCGGAGTGGCTGGGCCCGTGAGCCATGGCCGCTGAGCCTGCGCGTCCGGAGCCTGTGCTCCGCAATGGGAGAGGCCACAGCAGTGAGAGGCCCGCGTACCGCAAAAAAAAACAAAAACAGAAACAAAAGAGCGTGAATTTTAGGAGAAAACATTTCCGTTGGTCTGAATAAAGAATTCATTCTTTATTGAATGAATAAAGAGTTGGGAGCTTGGGAGTTCCCTGGTGGTCCAGTGATTGGGATTCCGTGCTTCCACTGCTAGGGGCCTGGGATCGATCCCTGGTCGGGGAAATAAGATCCCGCAGGCCACACACCATTAAGAATCATGCTTAATGGTGCCTACTACACACACAAAAGCAGCTCCTAAGTTACAAGGAGTAGTTCTGTATCTTTGCTTTATAGTTAAAAAAAAAAATCCACACCCAATTTCAATGCAAAGAGCCTACAGAGGCTGAGGCTGCAGGGCCATGAAGAGTCATCTGGGGCAAGCTAGAAATTTCTCCAAAGTGGATTCTGGTTTTTCCCACTGCTTATTCTCAGACACATCTGGGATCTTTGTGGCCTTGCAATCCGGCTGCTGTGCCGTCCCACAAACACGGAGCCCTCGACACAGCCACTGGGCTGTGCCCTCGTTTCTCCCCCACCCTCAGTGAGCACCCCGAGGGGGACAACATCAGGCTGCTCGGCTAACAAAGAGTTAAGGGCGCAGACAGCCTCCTCTCACTGCTGGTCACCAAACTGGAGCCCCGCTTTCCTCTCCCAGAAGGGCCCTTCCCGAGGCTCTGCATCTGGCGAGAACGAGCTGCAGGCGTAGTGGTGGGGCTGGGTGTCGGGAGGCTGACACGAGCTCCACAACAGAGAGGGGCCTGCCAAGTCTAGCTCACAGCGAGGGCACAGAAATGACGTGTTCAGTGTCGTGTGACCAGCTTGGGAGGGGGTCGGGCACATGTCTGAGGATCTCATTAGCCTGTTGCAAGGTGCTCAACCTAAACTGTTTTAGAGCAAAGAGACTGAACTGACTTTCGATGCCTTGAAAAGGGTGTTACTTCTTGTTGTGGGATGACGAAAGGCTAAGAGGCTCACTAAAAAAACCAAAAACACACTCCTGTAGGTGAAGCTGCAAGGTCTTCAGAAGGAAATCATGCTATAATGCGGTCCCCTTTCAGACTCTGGATGAGTAAGGAGCTCCTCGGAGTCAGTGCAAGTTCTACTAAACTCCACATAATGGTGGTACTGAACGGCTCTAACGTAAATAAGTAAAAACCTTCTAGGGCTTCCCTGGTGGCGCAGTGGTTGAGAATCTGCCTGCTAATGCAGGGGACACGGGTTCGAGCCCTGGTCTGGGAAGATCCCACATTGCCGCGGAGCAACTAGGCCCGTGAGCCACAACTACTGAGCCTGCACATCTGGAGCCTGTGCTCCTCAACAAGAGAGGCCGCGACAGTGAGAGGCCCGCGCACCACAATGAAGAGTGGCCCCCGCTTGCCACAACTAGAGAAAGCCCTCGCACAGAAATGAAGACCCAACACAGCCAAAATTAAATAAACAAATGTGGGTTAAAAAAAAAACACAAAACTTTCTAGGACTCCATGAATGAGCAAAGGGCAGCTAGTTTGAGGGAACTGGGGCAGGGGAGGTGCCCAGGTGCTCCAGAAGGCCACACGTTCTCCTCTGTGTACAAGCAGCTCCCTCTGCACTCTCTAAGCTTCCGAGCTCACCTGGCTCCCGTGCCTACAATTCCTCCAATCAGATACATGAATTTCTTCTCTTAACAAAACATGTATTTCCATTAACTTGTCTTTCTCTTCCTAGCCGGCTGTGAGCAGCTGGACGGAGGGAATGTCAGTGTCACTGAGGGGTGGGGAGCCCCTGGCAGACAGGCGGGGGCAGCGCCCTCTGCTGGAAGCCGCCGTGGGTTGTGTGAGAGCCGTGGGGCCGGCAGGACGAGCGTCAGCAAGTCCAAGAACAGAGCGGGCACAGGGAGCAAAGGCAAACCACCCAGTCCCAAATTTCTTAGGACAAATGTTACACCTCCCCCCTCCAGCAAAATGGCAAAACCCTGAAAAAGGCAAATGCTAAATTATTCCAGAAAAGCTTAAAACCTGATGTGGCCACCAAAAATGCCAGTGATGGGGGTCTGAACAAAATCCGCCTGGCGAGTGACCGAAGTCTTGTTTCGGGGGCCCACTTGCTCCCATTCGTCCTCACTTCCTTCGCCTGGCTCTTCTTGCTCGTCTTCGTTCACTGAGTGGCTTCTGGGTCCATTGGAAACAGTAAGTTCTGAAAAGCAGACTCTGCTTAGGCTACTATTTACACAAAGAGCAAAAAATAAAAGTTCTACATAAACCACCTCCACAGGTTTGTCCACTGGAGCTTTAAAGTGAGATCAGGGTGTATTCTACACTGAGGACAAAAGCAATGTGTGCGACGCTATAGCATCTCCCTGCTGGTGTGACCGGCGACAGAAGATGCCGTGGGACACCTGGAGAAGAACTCAGGTGGGACGGGGAAGCCGACTCTGCTGTGTAACTGCAGTCGGACTCCATCATTTGCGAAGGAACTCGGGTCACGTGGGAGAGCCACCCCTATCTCAGGAGACCCATGCTTTACCATTTGGGGTGAACTAAACTGCCATGTGCAACTTGGATTTTGAATCCCTTGGGGGAAAATGTCATGGGGGGCTGGGGAAGTAGAAAGAGAGATCGATAAGGACGACACGGTAGCAACTGTGGAATCCAGTGGTTATACAGGTAACCGACCTATTCTTTCAGTTTTTCTCTACGTGTAATCATTTTCCTAATTACAAATTGAAGGGGAAAAAGCAGAAGTTCTGGAAATACATTTATGTATTTGAAATATACAAACACAACATTCTCAATGGTACACAATAAGCAATGTAAAAGTAACTAGTTATCTTAATGAGTAAATAAGTGATTTTTGAAGGGCGAATGACTGTTGGGGGGAAAGGCAGCTTACTATATGAGCATATATATAGCATTTGTTTAAGAATAATTCTTAAGAAAATGTTCTACCCAATTCTGTAGCAAGCACACCATAACCTACTTTCATTATTTGGTGAGAGAAGTTTCTTCAGGTTCAGCATTTCCTCGTGAAGTCCATTTAGAATGAAGCCTAAGTACTCCTCAGCATCTTCTTGTCGACCCTGAGAAGGTCAAACAGGGTCACGTTAATCTTAACCAATTACTCTTCAACGCCTGCACGGAATGTGTTACCTGCATATACAAACTATGCCTTCTCTTAAATTTTCAGTAAGATTTAACATAAAGCGTTTCCCAAAAATCACATGAATTTTTCTTTGGACAGTTTTGTGTGAAGTGGGGAAGATTGGGTGTGCGAGCGGGGGAGGATTAAATATCTCTAAGCAATAGAACAGGGATTTCTTTTTAATTTTGCTTTTCTGTGTTTTCGAAATTTTCTACAATAAGTATACGTTACCTTTATAATAAAAAAGTTATTTTATAAGTTGCTTTTTTGTTTAAATGAAATAGAATGCACAACCCCGGGGGTTACCATTCCCACTGCAAGTTGTAAAATTAGCAGCCCCGTACGTCTCCTTTTATTTTCGATGATGGGCAACCACAGGAGAAAGGACCCAAATTATACGTGAAAAACTCTATTGATTTAAAGACTTAGCTGCCTGCCTTACACATCAGCACGACCATTTGCAGATGAATCACACAGTATGGTCCCACACTAGCTGTATAACCTTACATTGGTTTCATCTGATTATATAATGTATCATGATTGGTTCATATTTCGTTCTTTGGAGCATAACGGCGCGAGTGTTCCAAGGATCTGCAAATTCTTCTGCTTGCGGTCTCTGAGTAGATCTGTTTGCTCCAATGGAACCATAGCTGTGGACGGGGCTGTGTGGTGTGAGTGTGTCTGTGGGAAGGGCAGAGGCTGGCACAGCCCAAGACGCAGAAAAGAGTTAACAGTGCTGGGAAAGGCCTGCTTGCTGGGTTGGTCCTTGGCCGGCATCCGGGGACTTGGATTTCAGGAGGGCTCCCGCCATTCCAGGAACTGAAAAGGGAGCGTGCCCAATTGTGCCAACAGTGTGGTTTGTGCTGAGCACTGGCTCTCCCCCCAGGAGTCTGTGCGAGGCAGAGGGCAGGGTGCCTATGTGACCAGCCCCCAGCAAAACCCTAGGACACTGAGCTGCTGAGGCGCTTCCCTGGTGGACCACAAGCCACACAGCGGCCACAGTCTGCTGTGGGAGGAACTGAGTGCGTCCTGTGTGACTACACCGGAGAGGAGTCTCGAGGTTTCCTGCAGACGCTGCCCGAGTCTTCACTCTGTGCTGATTTTGCTTTGTGTCCTTGGGCTGTACTGAATCCGAACTGAGGGTAACAGCTCCTGAGTCCCGTGAGACCTTCTAGCGAATCCTCAACCCTGAGGGTGGTCCTGCAGACCCCAACAAGCCACAAGTAATGTAACTTCGAAAGCTGCAGGATCTCAGCGCTGCTCAGCCACCAGAAGCATCCTGAGCTTTACCTCTGCTCCCCCTGAGCCGGGGCCCCGCCCCTGGCTTGTACAGCATCTGTACACTCATCTGTCTTAGTACTTCAAGTACTAACTCCCCTACTGGACGAGGCGCTCTTTGGAGCAGAGGGCACCGTTTACTCCATGCCCGCCTTCCTAACACTACCAACACCCCCAAATCCTGAGCTTAACAGCAAAGGCTACACCATGGGCACATGAAGAGCCCCTGGTGGTATGCTGCTGCAGTGCCCTGAGTATTCCCTCTTCTTCGAAACAAAGGGGCTGCAAACAATACTACTTTAGTCAGTTTTAACACAATTTTCTTGAATATTTCCTAAAGAATTCCCCTTTTCTAGCATCATTTCAATTGCTTGTACTGACTCATCACGAACTCTGCCGGGGAGGAAAGAAACGCTCCGGTTAACTGTGCAAAGGCTGCCCCTGATTTACCCTGAACGCCGTCAGGGCCCTTTTCAAGACCTCCGTGGCCCTTGGCCCCATGCCTTCAGCAGCAAAGTGTATGATTAAAAATGACAGCCCCGAGGGAGCGTGGAGAAGATGCAGCACTCCTGAATGCCCCCGTCCCTGCTGCAGGGCAGTCCGTGTGGAAGTGAAGGAGCTAACTCCGCTGCCAGGCTCTGCCACTTCTTAGCTGTGACCTTGGACAGTGACTTCCCTTTTCTCAAATGGAACAAGCAGACATTAATCACACTTTCTTCACAGGGTTAAGTAAGTTAACGGATGGAACGAACTTACAGCAGTGGTTGGTCACAGTAAATGACACGAGTTGTCTCTGATTACCATCATTATCATCCCATACTCTAATTCATCCTAGCAACTGACTCCAGAGCAAGCCTAGATCCACTGAACACCCACTTAATCGCCGCAGTACAAGCAGAGGGCAAGCACTGAATACGCAACAGGTAAGGCACAAGCGTCACGCTGCGTACGCAGCGGCAGCCCCAACCTTTTCGGACAGGCTCGACTTGATAACTGTCAGCAGTCTATAAATGTACGTGGGCTCAAAGGCAGCTCCCGGGCGGACGTCCCTCACGGCTTTATCCCCAGGAGCTGCAACGGAAACAGGACACAGACCTTTACAGCTGAAGAAGTCTTAACATGACAAAAGGCATACTCATCACAACTCCCCCCAACACCCGCCCAATGCTGAGAATAGTACAGGTGCAGCAACCTGCACGTAAAGAGACATTTTCTTTCCAGCAAGCCTGAATCCCTCAAACTCAGTCACCTGACTTCACACCTCCCAACACGTACTGGCATCGGACCCTCGCTTTTACTCACCTTGTCTGGGCTTTGGAGGTACTGGCATATTAGTAAACTCATTCATTAGCCGAACACTAGACACGGGGGGGGGGGGGAAAAACGTTTAGTACTTGTTTTTTAAAAGACATACTATTACTAAAAAGCCTTGATGGCTAAGTAGAATGTTATCTAGTATGAAGACAGCAAACTTTAGATAACCAATACTGTAACAGCTAGTGAGCTCGTAAATCTTTTCTACATAAGTTTTTGGTATATTTCAAGTGATATAATTTGGTAAACACTAAAATTTATTCAACTGAATCTAAAGAACACAGCTAAACCATGTTCCAATTCCATTTCTGGTTAACTTCCATAGAAAATCATGAACAGCACATTTAAAAAAAAATAGAATTACAGGATTCATTTGCAGGAGATCAAGAACTTTGCCATTTGAATCTAATTATCAGAGGGGGAAAGCCCACCCCTCAACACATTTTCAGCAGCTTACTTACAAGCTATCTATCATGGGTGTGGACGTACAAGGCCTTTGCACTTTTGAATACAGAGGAATGAACTTCATCAGGTGATACATCGGAGGGCAAGCAACCAGTGCCTGCAGTGTCTACATGATGGCAGTAAGGAAGCGTAAAGGAAATAAAACCAATGCTCCAAACTGGGGAAAGGCATGTAAAACACAAGAGCATATACAACTACGCAAGCCAAGGACACGGAACGACTTAGATATGTAAACACAAAGGGGATAAACCAAATAATCCCGGGGGTAACTGCCCTGTGGTATCCAAGTCGTTTATAAATAAGAATGGGATTCAACCAAGACAGTCAAATCGATTAACACAGGATTTCCAGTTTAAGCGGTCACTCTGCCCTGTTATTCAGGACCATTTTAATGAGAAACTTGCCTGATTCTGTCCGTCACAGGTCAACAAATCATCTCTCTCTTTTTGGTCACGAATAGCCCAGTTAATAAGCAGTAAGAAACCGAGGTTTTGGATTCAAAATGTGGGGTAGACACCCCACAGAAGCGGAACTAAGTCGAATGTGCCCAAGGAAGAGGAAGCTGCAGAAAGCCAGCCTGGGGGACAGCCTCTGAGAAGGATACAGCATTAATGTAGCACCAGTTTCCTTTATTGATCAGCCCGCGGGGTTGCAATGACACTGGTTTATGAATCAGGGTTACGTTCTCCAGTAACTCTGAAAGAGGGAAGCACAGTGAAGACGTTAATGGCATCTCGTGAACAACTCTCACGCTCTGCCCTGGGAGGGGGACCCTGTTCAACAGAGCGCACGTCACATCCAAAGCGAAGGCAGGCTGTTACAGCTTCGTTCCGTTCAACATCACATAATTATTTAACGATTAAAATTTTCAAAACTATTTCCCCCCAAACACTGATGACATTTATTTATCTTCCTGTGATAATATCACTAGGGAGCACAAGGACTGTTTTAATAAGAAACAGAAAGGGCTTAAAAAACGACGTAACAGTATTCGGGAACAGACTTAAAAGATACAGGCTCTTTTAACACTGACAGCCGGGCAGGCCTCCTCAATCAGACACCATCCAGAAAGGTGTTTCCGTGCAGGACCCGTCTCGTTCACGTCTGGACGCCCAGCACATCACAGTGGGTGTTCGGTGACTGTTCAGCAAGTGATGATCCGTCTTTTGGGGACAATGATCTCCTACTAACTGAACTGTATTTTCATCAGAAGTCCCACTCGGAATACTAAAATCCCTTACTCCATTTAGAAATAAGCTTCGTTATCCTCAGATTCACCTTTTGACATCACTCTTCCCCATAGTCTTAAAACAGCTGTAAATGCCATCTTTACAAAAGAATGCTTTAAATATTGGTAAGTAACTGGCCCTTTTTCTTTTTAGAAATGTTGTAACAAGGTCTCCCCACGTCCCTTACGAATCCTCTAACAGTGACAGCCACAATGTTTGGCTACCTTCTACTCTTGGCAAGTGCGTTACAACTTACAACGTTAACTCGCTGCGTTTAATCCTCAGGGATCCCAGAGTACCACCAACCATCCCGCTTTCACCAAAAGGAAACAGAGGCTCAGGGTTAACTCGCCTGCCTGTGACCTCACAGGAGCCAGGCAGCACAGTCGGTACCCAAATCCATGACTTGCGGCCACACGACACAGCCCCACCCGTCACTTTTAGGCTGTGCACGCATTTGATATCAGCACCCACCACCCAAAGCATCACTCAAACAAAAGAAGCCTTTTTTCCCTAAAAACACAGTTGCATTGGCAGATGCCAGACTTAAGAATTAAATGAAGAAATTAATTTGCAAGATTCTAATGTCAACACACACACTCCCTCCCTCTCTCCTGTGAGGGTAAATGCCCTCTCGCCTCTAACTGAGGAAGCACAGAGAATAATTTCCCCATTTATTAAAAAGGGAAACATAAGCGACCCAAGAGAACCCATGGAATCTGCTCAGTTAGACTAAGCTTGCCTCTTGTCTCTCTCACTACGGGGCACAGCGCTGGGCCTTCACGGAGGAACAGATGAGATACAGAACTGAACCACATGCCCACGTGACTGACACCCCGCACAGACACCGCTAGGAGCTCTGTCTGTATTATTCATAATTGACCTAACAACCCTGTCAAAGAGACACCGTTATCATCCTCATTTCACAGGTGACAAAACTTAGGTCCAGAGGGGTTAGGGAACTGGTGCAGGGCGCGTGGCTGCGCTGACCTACGAGCCTGGGTCCCAGAAGCCGGGCTCTTTGCTCTCAGGAGACAATGGACTCTGCTTTAAGGTCCTTTACTCTAAGGTTTCTGATACTAACTTTTCCCCACAAGCTGAAGATCTTCTTCTCACCGGGGATTTTTACATCCGTCTTTGAGCCATTTCATCACAACAGCCCATAATTTCCAACGTGTGTCACAGAATGGCAATTACTTCGCACAGTTACTCTGCAAAACATCTGTGCATTTTCAAACAAGCATCAGTCCGCAATGACGCCCCACCAAGACACCTGTGAATCTTTGCCATAGTACTTTTCTATCTGAAAACAATATTAAGCTTTCACATAACCATACAACTCAAAACCAGCTGCCTTCCTAACACAAGGACCTCTGATAAATGACATGCTGCAGCTGGCTAAGCTTTGCCTGGGCACCAGGACCTGCAGGTGCAGAGATGACTGAGCAGTGGCCCTGCTGTAGCAGGGCCTGCAGACCAGTGAAGAAGGGACCACACAGTGCAGGCTAAGCTGGGTGGGGCAGTGGTGGGGATGCCCTGCCCTATCCAAGAACTGGAGAAACCTGAGGTGGCCAGGGGCCTGTGACAGCAAATGGTACCAGGAGAACGTCTCCAGCTTGGGGTGATGGTGCCTTCCACCCAGAGGAGAAATGCAACAGGACAAGCGGGTTCTTTCCTGCTTTGGGCAGGGATGAAGTAAGGAGTTCAGTTTTAAGAGTTTCAGAGGCTCAGATAAAAAGGTACGCGGAAGACACCAGTAAACAGTACACTGACACTCACAGACCAGACCGTAACATATCTACACACACACACACACACACACACACACACACACACACACACACACACGACCCTGCAGCTCGGGGCCTGAACTGTACACTCTGACAGCAGTGGGTCAGAAGCGGAACCCTGAGCACCACCCACGTCCAAGCGACAGGCTAAGGAGAATCCGTAACGGTGATCTAGGAGGACAGGGCGGCTGGAATCAGTGGTGGAAGCAGAAGCACGTTCGAGGGCCTCAAGGAGGAAAGCAAGAGTGGAGACCACTCGTGCAGGCTCCCCTGGCTAGGAGCCTGGCTGAGGAGTAAGACAAAAGAAGGGGGTCACTAAGGGCCTCCCAGGATCGCAGGACGGAAGAAGCTAGGGAAGGGCAGACTCACCACAGTTTACGGTGGGGAAAGAAATGAAATAGCAACCTCAATTTTCTTGATGATACTGGAAGCAAAGTCTCCCGGGGTTGGGGGCAGGGGTGAAGATGGGAGGGGAATTGGCTTGACAATATTAATTCCTGTTCAATACAGACACTGAAGGAAAACAGAAAGAAAATGATCAGGGGCAGGCATGCAAGATCTATCTGAAACTTCCCTTCCATGCATCTGTTTTCACAGACTCAAAAATAACTTTATACGTAGCTAAAAGTGCTTTGGATGCATATCCTGTTAAACTAAAAACAATCATTTATGACAGGCCAACTCCACTCTCGAAGGGGAAGCAAGGGGCTTCCCTGGTGGCGCAGTGGTTAAGAATGCGCCTGCCAGCGCAGCGGACATGGGTTCGAGCCCTGGTCCAGGAAGATCCCACATGCCGCGGAGCAACTAGGCCCGTGCGCCACAACTACTGAGCCTGCGCTCTAGAGCCCACGAGCCACAACTACTGAAGCCCACACGCCTAGAGCCCGTGCTCCGCAACAAAAGAATCCACCGCAATGAGAAGCCTGCGCACCGCAACGAAGAGTAGCCCCTGCTCGCCGCAACTAGAGAGAGCCCGCGCACAGCAACAAAGACCCAACGCAGCCAAAAGTAAATACATAAATAAATAAGTTTATATTTAAAAAAAGAGTTTGAGAGAACCAACACTTTTCAGTTCTCCAAAAAGAAATGTTTGCTTCAATTCCTTAAAATTAAGTTTTGAATATTTTGTGAGTATACAGTATATTAATAAAGTCACATTTCAAAAGGAATGAAAGGTTGTAAAAAATTAAGATTAAGTATCTTATTGCCTAAGGTTTTCTCTTAAAAACCAGACATCCACACAACTCAAGCGTTCAGTTTTATAACACACTGTACATTGAGCGTTCCTCCCCCTGCAGAGTTTCAAGGACCACAAACTGAGCCAGACGCTAACGTGTGACGGAGTCCGCCGTGCTCCGCAGCGCCGAAGCTCCTCTTCTCCCACCCAGTCAAGCAGCACCGGTGCAAAGACAAGGCTAATTCCTGCAAACAATCTCCATTCCTGTTACTGAATGCTCCTAAAATAAATGAGTCTTACTGCTGTATTTCAGAAGTCAATATTCATGAATGCAGACAAGCGAGTAGGAATACTGCTTTTAATTTTTTGGTATAACAGTTGGCTCTGTTTAATTAAGTTCCTTTTATAATAACATCATCACCGTTTCCATTTAGATTTTGCTAAAGTCCAATGAGCACTGAAGGGCAGCCAAAGAAGAGAGAGAGTGGGGTATTTCCTGAGGTTGAACCGTTAAATCTGACCTATGGTCCCAAGTCATCACTGTTGGTTTTCTATTTTACTTTCTTTTAGGGCAAATTATCAGAAGTTGACTGTAGTAACAAACCTTCCCCCCAGAGGCCTTCTTTTCAATCCATTGTTCTTGGTATAATTTACTACTCAGATCTGTTTAGACGGTAACTTTACGAAGGTGGCCTCCTCAAACCATCTTTTCCACAGTAGTTGGCAGGGTTGCCCCGGAATGACGTTATAGGCATGGCACAAAATGCCAGAATGACTGCGTATCACATAAAAGATATGAAACTGAAACCATTATCTTCATCTTCGTAACAGCTCAAACACTGACGTATATAGTAGCCCGCATACATAACCACAAATCACTCAGATGAAATGATCCATAAACGCAATGGCAATACTGGCACTGTAAACTTTTAAGTCCATATAAACTAGGGTTATTCTTATATTTTTATGCATCAAATTTTGTTTTCCTAAAATTAGCATTTAGGTCATATTACCATTTAAAATCCATGAAAACGCAAGCTGCAGAACTTTCACTGATTCTTAAGGCTCAATAACCGGCTCGTAATTGACATTCTGATGCTGCTGACCTGCTCTTCTGTCATCTTCCTAACTGTCCAGAACATTCTCCAAGTGTTTTTCTTTTCCTCATTACGTCACTTTGGAAGAACACACGCTATCTTGGTTACCTCATCAGGTGGAGGACAGCAAAGTGACCAAAATGTACCACTACCCATTGGCTATAGATCAACTTATGTTCTGTAAGTGGAGGAGTGTCCATTTAGTTCTTTAAAAGAGACATGACAGAAATATTAGCAAGGACATACACCTATCAAGTTAGACATGGACTGAACTCTCACCCCACAAGTGTGACTTCTGCAAACAGGTGCTGGACCTCCTCAGCTCAGGGCCTGCTGCATGGTCACTGCCTGTGCTGCTTCGGAGAATTTGAAGAGAAAATGCAAAATGTTGGAGAATTATTTCCCAAGAACAGGGAAAGTGTTGAATATAAATGTGATTTATAAACCACTAAAACAAAGATCAATCAGGGTATATGTTTGTTTACAATAAATACAGACCCAGGAACTCATTTTTCTGAGCAGATCCAACTTGTAGTGATTTTGTTGCTCTCTCCAGCAACAATTTTTAGGTATAAAACTGTGCAAAATCATCTATTAAGTGTGTTTTACCAAAATTCATAATAAATGACATTACTAGATACCTCAATTCCCCCACAGAATAGAATTTTTTCTAAGCTTTCTACGACCTCAGTTTACCTAGTTCTCTTACACTGGAATTTTAACTCCTCCTGTTTGGGCATTTGGCCTAGTCTCTCTCCTCGCCCACCATTATTTACACTCCTTTAAAACAAAATACACTGATGCAAAACATAAAATACAAAACAGCTCTATTTGTGATTCGAAAGCATTTGATACAATTTAGGTTTGGGATAGGACACGTGATCCTCAGTAAAAAACCAGGAAGAGTGTAATGTTCATCACAAGGATATGTTTCATTTCAAACTCTGACCCTGAGCTAATGGAGGGAGCACAGGCAGAGATCACTCCTACTTTTCTGGTATTTGTCATACTTACTCTCCAACAGGGGTGTGCCTCAAGTTTTGCAACTGCTTTCAATACAAGCTATAAGAATTAAGATTTTCAAGTTTCTTCTGCTCACCTCCTAGCTCAGTTATTCCTACTGAAAAATGGCACATATCCCCTCGCAGACACAAACCACTCACTGAAACACGGACCCCGCGGGCCTCTTGTGCAGGTTCATACTCCCCGCAAGGTTAGGGAAGGCATTTGGTGCTTCAGTGTAAGTGCTCTTCCCTTCCATCTCCTTCTTAAGTAAGAGTTTACACTTAGGAAAAACAGCAAATGAAAAAAAAAATGTTGACAAATGACACCAAGAAGACGGCCTTGCCACCAAAAAGGGAAAAGCAGAAGCCATTACAGCAATGGGTAAACAGACCGTGGGTAACGGTAACCCAGTTACCGTGGGTCACTGAAAGCTGGCTGTTTCATTTCAAAAGGCTTTATGTGATTCTAATTCTTTGTTTACAGTTGATTTGTGTTTCACTTGCAGTTATACAGAAACTATTTGGCATTTGTTAAGCACAGACTTAAGGACAGGGCAGACGATCCAGAAATGCAGACATCCAGAATAAACGGCCCTGGGGTCAGAAACTGGCTGTGGAGACTGATATTACTCTAAGAACTCAAAAAAGAGTGATCTTATCTGAACGGCTGTTCCCTCCTCTTTCTTTCCCAAAAGTCAATAAATACAATGATAAACACAAAAATTATTCTCTCAGTAGAACCACTTAGACGCTAATGCAAGTCAAATTCTATGATAACCAACATCAACAGATCTTTTAATGGAGCTAGAATTTCACACAGTTAAATACCGCTTAAAGTAAGTGGGCCTACGCTTAAAAGCGTGCCCATTTAGGGGGAGTCTGTGGTAGTGATCTGTACAGTAAACTGAACCTACCTTACCGTTTTTATAAAGTAAAACCTCTCAGGAGGAGAATGTGACAGAAGAAAAAATTCCAAGCAATCCTCTTTACCTAAGCTCGGTATGATTCCAAGAGTGACGACTATCACTGCATTATTTCACAACATGAAATACTGAAAACTGTCAGCTACTACACTGTATATTTCTAAGGTTCGATAACCAGGCTCAAAAGAATGAAGTATTTTAAAAGGAACCACACTTCTGCTCAGATAATTAAAACATCTTTACAACTGACCTAATCAAAAATAGAATTAAGAAAATAAATGGGGGTCCCCCCCACAGCAATGGAGGAACACACTGCATCAACTCAAAAATGATTAAATTGTAGCAACACTCTCCATTAATACAAATAACTAAGAGCCTCTACTTTTACATCATTTTAATTTACTTTACTTTTTTTGTTGTTGTTGGCCGTGCCGTGGGGCTTGCAGGGTCTTAGTTCCCCGACCAGGGAACCCAGGCCCCAGCAGTGAAAGCGCCTAACCACTGGACCACCAGGGAATTCCCTTCACAGTGTTTTAGAAAGCAGGTTAACGTTAGATTTTAGCAGGTCAACTAGATTTTAACATACACGGCAAACTACGCATCAAACCACATTTAAAGTCATATGACTAGAATGCTTTAAAACGTTTAAAGTGAATCTTTTCTTTCTTATTTTAAATAAAGAATGAGAAAATTTCACAGGAATGGGAGGTTTTTCCTTTGTGAAGCAATTTTTAGGAACAGAAATACAATTACAATGCCTTCTGACTAAACTCAGAACACACGTTTTTAAAAGCGTCACACCACGTATCTCTCATTACAGACTAAAAATAAACTTTTAACTTAATGATCTATTCAAAGGCTTTTACTCCCCTTTCCTGACCTTGACAGCTTTCCCTTGCAATGCACACATTTTAATAATAATAAAACATTAATAGCATTTTAATATTTATAATAAAAAATTCACCCAAATAACCTAAAAGTTATCACTTTAAAGCCCAAAATGGTGATTCATCTATCAATTAACTTCTCATTTTAAGAGAACTCCAGATACCTAGATTATTCAAAATAATGTATTCTGTATAAGGAATAAAATGCTCATTAAAAAAGATTTTTAGGGCTTCCCTGGTGGCGCAGTGGTTGAGAGTCCGCCTGCTGATGCAGGGGACGTGGGTTCGTGCCCCGGTCCGGGAAGATCCCACATGCTGTGGAGCGGCTGGGCCCGTGAACCATGGCCGCTGGGCCTGCGCATCCGGAGCCTGTGCTCCGCAGCGGGAGAGGCCACAGCAGTGAGAGGCCCGCGTACCGCAAAAAAAAAAAAACGGAAAAAAAAAAAAAAAAAGATGTTTAAGTATTGCTTGCTGTCATCTTACTGCCATCAAAAGGATGTGTTTTATATCTGATGGAATTCTGGCCATTCATAAAAGGGTATGCATTTTGCATCTTGCTACTGCTTTCCCCCTCATCCTGGTAATGAATGCTGTCAGGCATACCAAAATGTGATATCAGCAAACATCACGTAAAGCCTAAGTGAGACAGCTAACTTTAACTCGGCTCAAGGGCAAAAACCTGAAAAGGTGGTTACTAGTAAACTCCTCGGTACAATGAAACCTGAAGAGCAGCCCCTGCTTCTTAGACGTATATAAACAGACACGGCTCCTCTGTTTCTGACTTTCTACTTTAACTTTAAAAATCACAAGTCATGCAGCTTTATAGTTTTACTGTGAACTGGTCCTACTTCTGAGCCTCAGCACGTCGAATAAAACATCAACTTTACGGCAAACTGTTACCGTTTTTCTCATCTTGTCAAGAGTTGGCCTTGGTGTGCTAAAACTGAGTGAAATCCATTTACTCCATCCAAAATAGGCATTAAAAGGCAAAAAACCCAAATACTTTCTTATGTCCTGAGAAATAAAGAAACAATGCAAAGTGAGTCCAAATCAGGGATTATGACACCAAAGGTACACAACAGCTGGAACACAGATGGGGCTGCCTATTACACAGTCACACAATGGAGCACAGTCACTCGATCAAAAGGCAAGAAAGGGAAATGTAATTTGTCAATAGGAAAGGACTGGTAAAAAAAGTGGTAATGGACATGGCTTTTCCACTTAACATAAAGGTACGACACCCCCTCCTCACCCCATTTTGCTCATATACCATTATACTTTTAGTAAAATTTAAGGTACAGGCATTATTCAGAAATTCCTCTTAACACACGGGTAATCAATCTACTACCGCTGTGGGCAACAACATACCAGCAAAGTTTTTAGCCCAGCCTGTCTGCTCCCATCTTGGCTTCACACTTGTATCTTTTGAACTATACCTGCAATCTTTATGGCTACAGGATCTTCTGAAACTGGAACCAGCCCTTCCTTGACTTCGGCCTGCTTTTCAGAGACCAGGGAAGATGTGGCAGGAGGGGAATACTTAGCTTCCATGGAAACCACAGGCGAGGGGGCGGCGCAGGAGGAAGGGGGCTTAGAACCATGAAAAAGACTGGCCCACGACTTGGCGGGCTGACTGTGACCGGCAGGGGCGGTGGCCGCTGCAGAGGCCGCGGCGTCCGCAGGAGGGGCGCCGCTCTCGGCCCTGGCGGGCTCCGAGTCCGAGCTCTCCACAGTGTGCAACTCCACCCCGTTGGCAGCCGTGCCCTCACCCAAGGATTCAAGTATTTGTCCGTTAGTGACTCCGAGGTTCTCAGTAGTATCGGTCCCAACGGCAGGCTGAGCCACAGCTGTCCTCAACAGGGTGTCCCTGCTGGCCTCTGCAGGGAGGCGAGAGGGCTCCAAGTTGGCCCCGGGGCAGCCCTCAGGCTGCCCTGCAGTCCTGGCCCCGCTGTCAAGGGCTCCGGGGAAAGAACCAGCAGGCACGGCGTCGCTGACGAAGTCCGTGGTGTCCTGGGGGCTGCCCCAAGTCCTGGGTGTCCCCACGGGGGGCACATCACCCATCGAGTCCACATCCTCCGTGCCTACACTGCTGGGGACTGCTAGGCCGGCGTGGCCATTGACCAGGGCTTCTGTGGAAGGACCACCCTCGCCGCCGTCTTTCAAGTAACTGTAATATCCAGGGGGGCGTTTTTTCTTCTTTTTACGCTCCCTTTGTCCAAGACCACCCGAGACGCCATCGTTCTCTAAAACTTCCGCCTCCACGTTAGAGCTGCCATCCAGGGCGAGGGCAGAGCCTGGGTACTGGCAGTCAGCTGAGCTGTAGTTCACTTCTTTATCGATGTCATTGGGGATCTTTTTGGAAGCTGTGCAACTAAGGATAAATTCAGGGGCCTGAGGATTCAATGTGCTTGAAATACTGTAGTTGGGAGTTCTCAGCAAAGTGTCATTGGGTTCAATTACTTCATTAACACCAAATTCAATTCTCTGACAGTCCTGCCCTGTTTAGAAAGAAAATGATCAGTAAACATCCCATTAGTTAAGAACACAGCTATACAAACTATAAAAGTCTCAGTAATTATGCCTTTTTGAAAATGAAACCTAAAGTCTTATAGTAATTAACGAAGCTATGACATTTAATTTCTGTGCTGAATAAATAATTTGCTGAAATAAATAACTACAAAATTATATTTAACCTGGGGATATGAAATACAGAAGCCTGTATTTATTTTCCACTCTCAGGGTAGCTAAGGGAGACTTTCAGAAGGTAGAAATTAAAACAAAATTATAATAGAAAGCAAATAATATTCTGCCTATCTAAACACATCCCTCAATAATGATATCTGACTTTATTAGCTAACTCTATAAGCGTGAGACTAGGGCATATGTATCTTGGAAAACTTAATTTTAAAAAACCAAGATGACTAACATGGGGACTTAAAAATCAATGCAATATATATATATGTGGCTTCTCTAATTCATGTAATTTAGTAATTCCAAAAATATGATTCACACAAAAGCACTCTTTCAAATTATCCATCTCCCGGATCTTCTCTACTGACAACCTTAACTGAAGTCCAAAAATGGCCTTACATGAGTGCATGTGAATTCTACTAAATTAATTCATACTAGATTAACTCCATGGGTAATGAAGGTACTTCCAAAAATCCCAAAAAGATAAAGTTAGGACTGCAAACCTTTAAAAATCTCCTTGCAATCCTTCAGTTACTTTCTCCCCATCTATTCTATCCATTCTATTCTATTCTATCCATTCTAACATGGACAACCATCTATTCTATCCATTCTAACATGGACATTTTTCCATAGGCCACATCTCAGAAATTAGGTTGAGTTTTAGAATCAACTGAGTCTTTCAATAGACACCAAGCACCAATGTCATCTTACATCTGATGAAGTAGTTATACATTTAGAAGTTAAGGAAAGGACACGTGCTTTTTAACTCATTTTTCGTGCATAACTGAAGATTTCTCCAAGTCTAGAACAAGAGACACACTTTTTTTCCAAGGTATGTATTTCAAGGAAAAAAAAATCACCATACCAAAATAATCATATTCTGTTAACAAAACTGAATATATTTTACTTTGGAAGTCTTTTTAGAGAAGAAAAAACAGCCCCACAGAGGGGCCAGGGCCCTAAATAGTTTCCTAATTCTCCATCTGTTTTGATATCACATGCCCTGGGGGTAGGGGGAATACAACAGCCTGACAAACAAAAAGTTCCTGAAAAAAGAATACTAATGATGGTTATGCCTAACAGCAGGCTTTACTATAAAGCCGCCGATAGGACAATTTGAATCCTTTGGCCCCTGAGAGCTGATCTGCTGTTTCCTTATTTTGAAAACAATCACCACAGAGAAATTAATTTCTCTATTATTATACCCAAAAGTGAACTGTCCAGTCTCCTTCCAGGTATCCCCTATCCTGTGAGGTTTCAAGGGTACAATGCTGCTAAGTGGACTGAGATGGGTGTACGTGAAGAAGTGAAGGACACTCGGCATGAGGAGGCTGCCCTCTGAAGACTGTGATGTACTTTGTGAATCACGCTAAAAATTAGTATGTGCTGAACCATGCAGTGCGTGCCAGATTTTGATTATTTCCGATAGACACAGTGCCTTCCACATCTCAATTCTTAATCTTATCGTATCATACAACATTCTAGAATGTGATGTGACATTAACGGAACCATTTCAATATGCTACAGTTGTCATCAGAACATTTACCCAACAAAGTATCTGATCACATCCCTGGAAGTCCGATTCCTACCCAGAACAGTTCCTTCTCCTATTCAGGAACACTGGTCGTGGACACACACATGCACTGCCCTCCAGGGCAGAGAGGTCAGGACAAGGCCCAAGCTGTCAGGCCAGAAGAGTGGTGGAAGGCCTGGAAGCTCCTGAGCACTCAGGTCACGCAGCCAGTGGAGTTGTTGAGGGAAGGAAAACCAGCTCAAATAAAACAATTACATCCTAACACATCACTTCTCAAAGTCTGTGCACCGTAGCACACACGGTACCGTGGCCTGGGGTGCCCGGATGGGGTCCCGGAGTCTGCGATGTTCAGAGGCCCCCAAGGAGATTCTCATGCCCAGGACGGTCTGAGAGCTACTGCTTAAGTGGCTTCCTCGGCTGATTTCTCCGATCAACTCTTAGTGAGTCAATTCAACAATCACGGAGCACCTAGCTATGTGCAAAGCGCTTATTATCGGGGAGGGGGGTGGGGTACAGAGGTAAGGCAAGGTCTCTGCCTCAAGGAGTTACATCTACTAGGGAGACAAACATTTAAGACGGGAGATGACAATGCAGAGGGTGGGTAAGATGAGGCCTCAACAGCTTCACAAAAAGAATGCTTCCTGACACAGGGAAAAGAGATCTACTTCGATCAGGAGCTAGAGAGAGGTCAGTGGAGTCGACAGGATAACTGGATGGGGCGGGTGGTGAGAAGTAGGGGCTATTTCCCTCTCTGGGAACTGATTTAAAAAGGTAGGAGTATAAAAGGCACACTGTGCAGGGGCCCCCGCCAAGAGCGTGAGTCGCTGGCTATGGTGGGCAATAGAACAAATCCCTCTAAAGTGTTCATCCAAAACCATCCTGAGGGCTTCCCTGGTGGCGCAGTGGTTGAGGGTCCACCTGCTGATGCAGGGGACGCGGGTTCGTGCCCCGGTCCGGGAGGATCCCACATGCCGCAGAGCAGCTGGGCCCGTGAGCCATGGCCGCTGAGCCTGCACGTCCGGAGCCTGTGCTCCGCAACGGGAGAGGCCGCAACAGTGAGAGGCCCACGTACCACAAAACAAACAAAAATACATCCTGAGAGTCTACAGCACGGCAGATACTATACTGTGCAGCTGCTAAACGCAGAAACGGATAAACTGTGGTCTCTGCCACCCACAGCTGAACTCAGCCTCAAGAGGGAGGCAGAGCGAGCTAGCACTGCAGGAGAGACAAAAGCAACGGAAACAGAGCAGAAAAGGCCTTGGAGAAAAGGGGCCTTTAAGCTGGCCTGTCACTAACAGTGTGAGCAGCCGTGATTTTGGAGGGTTAAAAGATGGACTTGAGAAGAGAGAGGACAGAATGGAGAAAAAGAAACAAGAAGGGGCTTCCCTGGTGGCGCAGTGGTTAAGAATCCACCTGCCAATGCAGGGGACACGGGTTCAAGCCCTGGTCCGGGAAGATCCTACATGCCATGGAGCAACTAAGCCCGTGTGCCACAACTACTGAGCCTGCGCTCTAGAGCTCGTGAGCCACAACTACTGAGCCCACACGCCACAACTACTGGAGCCCGTGCACCTAGAGCCCATGCCCCACAACAAGAGAAGCCACCGTAACGAGAAGCCCGCCCACGGCAATGAAGAGTAGCCCCGCTCGCTGCAACTAGAGAAAGCCCACGCACAGCAACAAAGACCCAACGCAGCCAAAAATAATTAAAAAAAAAAAAGTCAAGAAGCGTAACTGAGCAAGGATGCCAGCCTAGAAGGAGGGATGTGGCGAGAGAGAGAGAGGGGGGGGGGGGGGGGGGGGGGGGGGGAGAGGGGGGAAGGGGATAGGAGGAATGACATTGGAACACGGGGGGGTCAGACGAGGGGAGGAGGGGGAGGTGCAGCCTCCATCTCCAGCCTAAGCGACTGGGAGGATGGTGAGGCCACTACCTGGACCAGGACGGAAGGACTATTATGACAGGGAAAATAATGAGACATCTGTTAAGCACTGAGTAAACACCTGTGGCACACCTCCTATGCGCCAAGTACACGAAGATAGGGAGAACCTCAACCCACAGATAACAAAGCCAGTCTGGAGGCTGGGTGGCCCTGCAAGGGCATGTGGGTCCCTGGAGCATCGCTTAGTTTACTGTCGTCCTAAGCAATCATTGGAACTGTCCTCTCCCTATGCTCCTTACAAAGTTGCTAATAATTTTAGATATAATCACTTTCTCGTTTTACTATAGACAGAAAGTTTACATAGTCTTTTCAGGGTTTATATTTAAATCTAAACTATAATAAAACCCTTTCATAGGTCAGACAAGGCTAAAGAAACAGGGAACCAAATCCCTGCTCTCAAAGAAAAGGTTAGGCTTTTAGCTTCTCCAAGGCCAGCGAGAACCTTTAACACAATGCAAACTGAAAAATGGTCTAACGGGTTTGACGTGTGCAAGGCCCCTGCTGTTACTAACACTGGGCATTTAAATAATACGAAAGGGCTGCATCTCAACAACGGCCATCTCCACTGATCAGCTCAGTGTCTGGGACAGAGGCAATCAATCAATCAATAACAACAGGCCAAGAGGTGAAGAGCTCACCTGAATTCCCAAGAGCCTTGGTGACATAAACACAGACTGCAGGACAACAGACCTGAGCTGCCACTGAACCAGGCAGAAAGCACGGGCTCAGAGAATCGCCAGCTCTGGACCCAGCAGCCAGCGCATCCAGAGAGAAAGCTCACTTCAGAACCTTTGCAAAGAGCTTTGGCTATGAAGGAATATATATCTGTGTCACTGAGGACTGTTAGGAGAAAACAGAAATGAGCAACTGTTTCCTTAACTCACCTTTGCACGTCCGGCACTCTGAAGCACAGAAAGTGGTTCGGTGATTAAATCTGCTACAGCTCACAGCAAAAACAGCAAGCGATAAGGGAACGCTTATCCAAAAGGTATGGACCAACAGAACACCACTTCCAGGGAGCCTGCCCACCCCGCACGCACGTCAGGGAATGAAGGAGAGCTCAAGCTTACCATCGGGTAGCTCACCAGCGGCCTGTGCGCCACACAGAACTGCTCCACCGTACGGAGGAAGCTGCACAGGGAACCGGAAAACAAACTTTAATTCAACCAATCGTTAAAACAATAGCAAAACATGCTATTTCATTAAAGCAACCTTCATTAAAACACTTTATCCATGCAACTTCTCGTGACATTTTAACAAAATAACACAGACTGAGAGACAGTAAGATTAAACATCTTCATTTTAAAATACCATTGGAATGCTTTCAAACATTTATTGTTAATAAACAGATTCTAAAATGAGGCAAAAAATAAAAATGGGCTCCAATGGACATGTCAATCCACTACAATAAAAGGCTCAGGACACACCCTTCATTTCACAGGAGTTGCAGACTGCCCACCAATGCAACAGTGCTTGTCTTTCTCCATCCACTAGTAAAGAGTCTTCGTGACCATCTGCGCTTGACGTTCACCATCACTACATGTCCACTCAGCCAGAGGCAGGAACCAGGCCCAGGGGCAGAGTGGACAAAGCCCCTGAGAAGGAAAAGCCTGGGAATCGTGGCTCCCTTTTTAACAGGAGGCCTTACATAACGGAATTAACGGCTAGTGATCACATTCCTTGTTTGGAAGAGAGAAAGCAAAACAGCAGGTGTCTGAGCTCTTTGTAAATGCAGGAAGGTATCATGAGTATACCAAAATGTTCCTTCCTAGCTATTCCATAATACTTAGAGGAGTTACAAATGTTTCAAATGGATATGTTTGAGATGAGAAAGTTTAGGATGGGAAGAGGTAAGGTAAGTGGACAGATAATTGCTACCTGAAAGCAGAACAAAAGAACAAAACAATTATCGATACATCCTAACACAGAACTTCTCGAAGTCTGCACACTGCAGCACACACAGTACAGTGGCCTCGGGTGCCTGGATGGGGTGCCGGAGTCTGCGATGTTCAGAGCACCCGTGAGATTCTCATGCCCACGACTGTCTGGGAACTACTGAAGTGGCTTCCTCAGCTGCTTTCTGCAGTCAAACTTACTAAGTCAATTCAACAATCACAGGATAAAAGTTCTCGCCTGAGAGAATGAATGACAAATAAGAAGCTAACAAAGGCAGATTTGAAAGGAACTGACCGCTTTCTGGACTAGAGAGCAGCACAAGTTTCCACCACACGGGGGCACCCCAGCATTCATCACGGCAAAGCCCAGGTGGGCTGCACTTCGCCTGGCACCTGCAGTGCAAGACCATTCCACATAACATCCAAACGCTCACACCCGGTGCCCCAGCATTTACCGCTGGCATGGACACACGGAGCAGAAAGGTGCGTCTGAGGAAGCCACAAATCAGGGTAGTGTCACTCGGCAGTCATGCAGGACGTTTAGCAAACGCCCATACACAGAACTGCCTTTTTGCTTCCATCAGTGATACTAGGGTGCCCCCTGGTGATGAAAATTACACAGTTGCAAGGTGCTCAAAGTATTTTACTTTGTTTTTTAAAATCACACTCACTTCCACAAACTCTAGGGAGTGGTAGAGACAGGATCTGAAAACAGAGCACCTGGCACACTCCAGGGCAATACTACCATTTTCTGTTAGTGTATTTAAAACATTTATTTTGATTTACTAATCTGGTAAGTGCATAATTGTGGGAATTACTGAATGCTGGAGTGAGTTCAGGCACAGAAAAAATGTGTTTTATTTTTATTCTATAGCCTCATACATGGCGCCTTTAATTCAATGAACCTCTGTCACTTGTAAGATGCCCCTTAGTCTGTGGTAAGTGGTATAATAAATACACAGCAGAATAAAAGTGTAAGACGTGTTCAATGTTCTTACAAGAATAGAGAATTTTAAAAGCACAGCAGAAATATAAAATCTCACACACAAATGCAAACTGAGCAGTGTAAAAAACAGAAATCTAGTTGTATTAGATACAAAATCAAATCGACTCAGTATGAAAATAGTGCTATCACACTGTGAGGTCAATACTTGGGCCCTTCAATAAGAAGGTACTATTTTAACATCGTTTTGGTGCTGCCACTGTTTATTGTGCTCTCTCTAAAAGACCCTCATGAACCCTGAATCTCCCCTCTGAAATCCCAGTAAGACACCAAACCACTGAGGGTAACTGTCTTAGCTCTGCATCACTACACACACCCACACATGCAGGCACACACCTCTGCAGCTTGGACTATGCTATCCTGGGCTTGTTTATTCCACGGCTGGCTGAGGTGCAAGAGTTGCCCGAAGTTGAGTTTCTGGAAAGTTTCAAGAACAATAAGCATTCTCTCCCTATTTTCGAACACCAATATACTAGGATCATGACTGGAGCTCAAAATACGCTTATTCAGTCAGTACACTGTACATTTTTTCCAGCTGGAGAAATTCATTTTAAACTGCCCTGGCTTATCAACTGGAAGACAGCTTTAGAAAAGGTATCAAAACTCTCAGTTGAGGTATGATGCTTTTGTAGAAAGTTGGACTATTTTTACATTTTAACACCCTGTATTTCTCAAATTTGGTTTCTCAGCCCTTGATCCCAAGCAGAGAAAAAAATACTTTAAAGTTCCTAATAGCCAAAAAACTATACGACAGGGTTCTAATTTATGCCATGGCCACATGGAAGGAACTGTGAAGGTATGAGGTGCAATTATTTTATCTTTGAGATAAAAGGTCAAACAAATGATTATGCAGTGGAATGAGATAACCATTCCTCACCCACCAATGCAACCACACACCACCCCCATTAAGCAGTCCATGTCCCATGTGATGATACTTCTATTATAACCCAGCCCCCTGTGTTATAATAATTATACAGTGAGAAAGATAACTCAGCCTAATCATGTTAATTAGCCTGTGTTTCTCTTTTGCAGGTCACTGGACCATATGTGATTCTGATAGTCAACACCTGTCATACCTCCCCCCAAACACTGATGACACACAACTATATAGCTTCCGCAAATAAAAAGTCTGGGGACTTCCCTGGTGGCACAGTGAATAGGACTCCGTGCTCCCAATGCAGGGGGCCTGGGTTCGATCCCTGGTCAGGGAACTAGATCCCACACACCACGACTAAGAGTTCGCATGACACCACTAAAGATCCCGCGTGCCACAACTGAACACCCCACGTGTTGCAACCCAGACTCAGCACAACCAAATAAATAAATAAATATTTTTTAAAAGTTTGATGTAACTTTACTATCAAAATCCTTCGTATCTACTAGCATTTGGTATACACGAAATACTACACAATACATTAACGGCTTCCCAACATTTCTGTGAGGTAAATAAGCATCCTCCGCTTTCCAAATTTACAGTTTTGAAAAAAGGCACAATGAGATGGAGGAAACTTGCCCAAGACCATCAAGCCTGTTTAAGTAGCAAAGGGAGAAAGGAACCCAGCTCTTTAGACTTGATACATGGTACATTCTCCATTTTCATACCACAGGAAAGCCCAAGTTTTTACTCTGACACTTACTTGCAAACAGGCACTCACAAACTCTCTCCCACACACACACACTCACTTGAGACAAGCTACCAAGTACAGAATTGGGCTTTTATGGTTTTTTTAAACTCTTAATCACAAAGAGCACAGTTACAGTTAGCCTGTGGTGTTCCCAGCAAGTACCACCATACTTTAGCGTGAGTCAAGACAGAAATTGTTTAAAACTTGAATCATTAATATAGTACACAGAGTATAACCTCAGTTAACACTAGCACTTGGGGAATATAGGATTTGATTATGTTTGTCCTAATTAACTGTTTTTTAAATCATTAAAGACTAAACTTCAATCCTTACTCCACAGAATTCTAAAATGCATAGATACATTTTATTGCCTGAGGAAATACAATATATCATCTAGCTTTCACTATTTCCCAGCTCATATCCTTAGATTTCTTAAAATCATAACTGCTAACATCAACAAACACAAAAGACAGAGATGGCATTGAGCTGAATTTGTTCATTTTCTAAAATAAAACCTGATATAAGCTTTATCTTCTCTGATATCTTTCTTTTTCCTAAAGTGAAGAAAACAAGTAATAAATCTTTCTTATATCTGCATAGCCTACATAATGCTTTCAATATGTTCTCATTTAATCCTACTTCCACAATCCTAAAAAATTTTAGAATTCAAGAAGCCAGGGTCAAGAGCCAAGGATTTGCCAAGGTCACATGTAAGTGGCCCACCCAGACACTAACCCTGTTTCAAGCACTTAACTTCTCCTGCCCCATTTTAACAAACAAAAGAACTCCATACATGAATATCTAATATGCATGCAAATATCCAAAATTAAGGAGTCTAAAAGGCTAGTTAGATTTCATTAAAAGTTAACTAAGATTTTACTTAATATATACACTTACTTCTCCCTTTTCTCCTTTTCAATGCAATTTCAACAGTCTTCATATTTAAAACATCAATCTGAAAAAATGTTCCAGATAAGTTTTTATTAAACTAAAATAGTAACCGTCAATCACGTGAAGAGTGGACATAAAAGAGGACCTGGATGGAGATACAGCACAATCCTGTTCAGGAAACTATCACAGAGACGTTAACTCTCCTACACATTAATGCATAATTTTAACACAATTCCAATTGAAATTTCAATAGGATTTTCCATGGAACCTCAAGGGCTGATCATAAAAGAGTTATGGATGAACAAGAGACAAAATACCTGTAAGTATAAAAGGGTGCCTGTCCTATCGTAAGACTGATTATAAAGCTGCTGCAATTAAAACAGGGGAACCAGAACCCACTGAGTCCATGTGGAGATGTGCGGCCTGACTGTGGCACCCCAGCAAAGGGTGAATGGTGTTGGGACAACTTGCTATGGCCATTGGGTGGGGGGAGGTTAACACACACACACACACACACACACGATCAACACCACAATCTCAGTTTCATTATATACTAAACTGAAAACAAAAACTTTAAAACTTTTAAAATGTCTTTATTACCTCAAGGAAAGGAAGAATTTCTTAAAGATATTTTTTTAAAAAACAAAAAATCCACAAACCATGAGGAAAAAAAATCAATACATTTAACATTAAAACTTAAAAATGTACTCCCAGAGATTATTAATCCTATAAATCAATTTAAAAAAAAGACAAGCCGGGGCTTCCCTGGTGGCGCAGTAGTTGAGAGTCCGCCTGCCGATGCAGGGGACACGGGTTCGTGCCCCGGTCTGGGAAGATCCCACATGCCGCGGAGCGGCTGGGCCCGTGAACCATGGCCGCTGAGCCTGCGCGTCTGGAGCCTGTGCTCCGCAACGGGAGAGGCCACAGCAGTGAGAGGCCCGCGTACCGCAAAAAGAAAAAAAAAAAAGACAAGCCATTTGATAAAAATATGGACAAGGGATATAGACCAGGTAATCAACAGAAGAGTAGAAATCTACACTGCCAACAGACATATGAGTAATGTAATGGTGCTCAATTGTTTGTAATCTCGAAATGCAAATTAAAATAATGAAAATCCATTTATTACCCATCAGATTAACAAAAATTTTGACTATGTCTATGCTGACAATTAGGAAGAATTTTTTTAGGGACCTCCCTGGTGGCACAGTGGTTAAGAATCCACCTTACAATGCAGGGGACACGGGTTCAATCCCGGGTCCGGGAAGATCCCAGACGCCGTGGAGCAACTAAGCCCATGCACCACAACTACTGAGCCTGCGCTCTAGAGCCCACAAGCCACAACTACTGAGCCCGCATGCCACAACTACTGAAGCATGCGCACCTAGAGCCCGCCAGCCACAACTACTGAAGCCCGCGTGCCTGGAGCCCACGCTCCGCAACAACAGAAGCCACTTCAATGAGAAGTTCGTGCACGGCAACGAAGAGCCAAAGCAGCTCCAAAGAAAAAAGAAGAATTGTTTTAAAAAATGAGATCTAAAAACCCTCATGCACTGCTGATGGGAAGGGAGACTGTTAAAACCACTTAGAAGGCAGACGCACAGTCTGTAATAAAACTAAAGATTCTTATTCCTTGCAGAGCCTCACAACTCCATTCCTAGGAATATTTCCTGGAGAAACCCACAGAGGAGCATGAGAAGACATGACAAAATATGTTTACTGCCACATTTTTGTAACATTGGAAGAAGTGAACACTTAAATACTCCTCAACGGGGGAAAAGGTATGTTCAATATTTAACAATTAACGGTGAATTCCCTAGCGGTCCAGTGGTTAGGACTCGGTGCTTTCACTGCCGTGGGCCCAGGGTAATTCTCTGATTGGGGAAGTAAGATCCCACAAACCACTCAGGGCGCGGCCAAAAAAAAAACAAACAAAAAAAAACAATTTAACAATTAAAATCAAAGACCGAGAACTAAATGTATAGATAAAGCTAAAGAATATTTAACTTAAACAAACTACAAAATGATGGGTACAGTAGGAAACCACTTATGTGACATTTTTAACCACAAAAACAATACGCTGTACTATCTATCAATACATATGTATGTAGTACGAAGTGAAAACCATGGTCAGGAAACAATGTTGAGCAATTTCAGCAGAGTCAGCATTTCTGGAGAAGGAGGATGAGAGGATACAATGGGGGCTTCCACTGTAATGCTTTGCTATTTATAAATATAGCAAAATGTTAACAGTAGTCAATCTGATTGGTGGGTTCAGTCATTTCTCATGTTAGTCTCTACGCTCTTCTGTACACTGGAACTCCTAATCAAAAGGCATATATTAAAAAACAAGAACTAAAACAACCATCAATTAAACCTATGCACGTACTCAATAAAAGAAAGTTGTGTCTTACCTCAACTGAAGAGCGAGGAGTCACAAAGAACTGATTGAATTCATCAGGGCTAAAATCTCCAAAAATATACTGAAAAAAAGAGAATTACTGATCACATAAAATACACAACTCATACAGTTTCAGAAAAAATGTGTCATATCTCAATCCTATGAATAATTGGGCCAGAACCCCCAACACCCTTTCTCCATTAAATAAATCAAGGATCTTGATCAAGCAAACAGATTTCTAGATGGAGTGTTTTCCAATTACAAATAATAAAACACTTAGGTTTTCCATAAATTGTCAAAGAACAGCCTAAGGTTAATAGAGCTTACTTTTGTTACCAAGGCTGTTGCCCCAGAATCATACCCCTGCCCCTCCCTCAAATAGAAACCTTATTCTTATCTAAGTTTCTGAAGCTGCAAAGAGGAAAAAACAACTGGTTAGAACCAACAAGGCCCAAGATGGCGGAAGATGTGACTTCCAGCAGAAGTTGAGTCTCATTACATTCTCATTGTAATACATTAGCATACGCTAAATGACCCACCCACCGGCACCAGTTGAGGACTGCCATGACAACTGAGAAAGCCCATACAAGGGCTGAAAAGGAGAACTGCAACAGTCCCAGGTCCAAACCACACCCCTGTTCTCCAATAAGTCATGAATATTCCTCCCACTCTTTCCAAATCCCTCTCTTTTACCTTGACCCTCCTATATATTTGGTATCTCTGCCCAAATTGGGTTGAGAAGTTGATTTGGAACTAGGTTCCCGCTTCTCCATTCTTTGGCCACTGAATAAAGCTTGTGCTGTTCCAGTCTCAGCATCGGTTTTGTTATTGGCTGCACAAATCCGATCAGAAAAAGAACCTCCCTGGCGGAGACAGGTGGCCTCAGCTGGGGCTTAGAACCACAGCTCGGCAACACTTTGAAACAGGTCAGCTCTGTACACCAAACTTGTAAGTAGACTCCTGCTTGCAGGAGAACTTTTCTGGTTCACAAACATTTCTACTTGTTCCATTTACCTTTCGGCTGACTCATGTCACTACCGCCATTTCAGCTTTCCCTACCCATACATACTAAAGAAAAGCAAAAAACATGGTTCCAACGGGAAGACAGGGAAATCCAAAAAAGGGAAATGTTAGTGATTCTGATGGATGAACTTTAAAAATATATGTGTAATTTTTTTACCTTGAAAGTACACTGGAACGTGATACACAGATAAACATATTGTTCGACAGACACAAACCTCGCTGTGAACTCTCACTTCATAGAATTCTGAACGTTACTTTCTGAAAAACCGGTTAACCCACACGGAAGTTTGACGAGCGCCAAGCAGTTCATATTCTCCCTGAAGCTTCAAGAAACAAGTCATTGATAAGAATCAGTATGACCTGATTTCTACAACAGAGAATCACTCACTTAATCAATACTTATTTAGAGCCTATTAAGTGTCATGCACAACAATCGGTATTAGATATAAAAATGGCAAAAGCAGAGTTGTGGTTACTCTACTCTAACAGAACTGCAGTCTAATAACTTGTGGGGAAATTTACAGTATCTAAACATATATAAAGAGATAATAACCTATTATTGTAACTGAGTAAATGGAAACTAAGTCTCAAAATCTGTTGGTAAGAATGCACCAGTAGGGACTTCCCTGGTGGTGCAGTGGTTAAAAATCTGCCTGCCAATGCAGGGGACAGGGGTTCAATCCCTGGTCCGGGAAGATGCCACATGCCTCAGACTAACTAAGCCCGTGCGCCACAACTACTGAAGCCTGTGCACCTAGAGCCTGTGCTCCGCAAGATGAGAAGCCTGTGCACTGCAACGAAGAGTAGCCCCTGCTTGCCGCAACTGGAGAAAGCCCATGCACAGCAATGAAGACCCAACGCAGCCAAATAAATAAATTAAATATATAAATAAATTTATTTATTTAAAAGAAAAGGAATGAATGCACCAGTATTTCTGGGGAAAACATTTTTTTGGAGGGCTCTTTCACAGTAGCTACCAAAACCGTGAATATATATTAAAAACAAAAACATCTTGACATAATATTTACATATACTTGCAAAAGTCCACAAAGAAATTGTGCACTGACAGTAATGGTGAAAATGCAGAGTCCCAAAAACAACTTAGAAACAGTCTTCTGAAATAATGTCATTGTGGCCTTAATTAGACATCACCAAAACTGGGGAAAAGCTTATTTTAATTTCACTCCAGCATAACACAAAGCAATGGAAGGGAAAGTTATCTATAAATAAGAAGAAAGAAAGGTGGGGTGGGGGAAGAAATGACACTGCTGCCTGGCATTCCTTTATAGTCCCACTGCAGAGAGATCTTTAAGTCTAGATATAAATCTTTAAATTTACTCAGAAGAAAATAAAAAGATGAGCGATACAATGGGAAAAAATATTCCAGACAATACCAACTGCTGGCAAGGATGTGAAGCAACTAAGGATGCGGAATGATACAGCCACTCAGGAAAAGAGTCTGACACTTTCTTATAAAGTTACTTACCATACAACCCAGGAAGCCCACTCTTAAGTACTTACCAAAGAAAAATGAACACCTATGTCCACAAAAAACAAAACCAAAAAAACCCTGTATGCTGAAGTTTACAGCAGCTCTATTCATAACTACCAAAACCTGAAAAGAACCCAAATGTCTATCAAGAGGTGGATGTGATACAGCTACATGATGAACTACTCCTCAATGACTCTCAAAAGCATCACACTAAGTGAAGAATTAGACTTCAAAGGCCACAAGCTACATGACTGAATTTATATAACATTCTAGGGCTAAACTCTGAGGACAGAAAACAGACCTGTGGTTGCCAAGGTCTGGAGAAGAAATGATTACAAAAAGGCACACGGGAACTTTCACGGGGAATGGAAATATTCACAGGGCAAGCCTGTTAGAGAAACAGTAAACTTCCTACCTGCCAAGGAAACACCCCCACGAAAATACTAATGATTTCAGCCCTTGAATGTGAATGGACAACAAAAAAAATCACAAGACACGTGAGGGAGCAATCAACAGCAATAAAGAGAGTTACTATTAAAATCAGGGTGAAATGCATCTGCGTAAACAAAACATAGGAAACAGAAAAGAACTTAAAGTTCTAATCTGTATCCTGAAAGAAATTCTAGCAGGTAAAATAAGCAGATTGCCATGAAAAAAGGACATATTAGGGACTTCCCCTGGTGGTCCAGTAGTTAAGACTCCATGCTCCCAATGAAGGGGGCCCACGGTCGATCACTGGTCAGGGAACTAGATCCCACATGCCGCAACGAAGATCCTGCATGCTGAAACTAAGACCGGGTACAGAAAAATATATTTTTTTTTTTTTGCGGTACGCGGGGCCTCCCACTGCTGTGGCCTCTCCCATTGCGGAGCACAGGCTCCGGACGCGCAGGCTCAGCGGCCATGGCTGACGGGCCCAGCCGCTCCGCGGCACGTGGGATCTTCCCGGACCGGGGCACGAAACCACGTCCCCCGCACCGGCAGGCGGACTCTCAACCACTGCACCACCAGGGAAGCCCTAAAAAAGTTTTTTTTATTTAAAAACAGGGACCGGGGACTTCTTCAGTGGCGCAGTGGTTAAGAATCCACCTGCCAATACAGGGGACACAGGTTCCAGTCCTGGTCCGGGAAGATCCCACATTCTGCGGAACAACTAAGCCTGCACGGCACAACTACTGAGCCTGCACTCTAGAGCCCACAAGCCACAACTACAGAGCCTGCACGCCACAACTACTGAAGCCCGTGCGCCTAGAGCCCATGCTCTGCAACAAGAGAAGCCACCGGAGTGAGAAGCCCGCGCACCACAACGAAGAGTAGCCCCCGCTCGCCGCAACCAGAGAAAGCCCGCGCGCAGCAACCAAGACCCAACGCGGCCAAAAATATAAATAAATAAATTTATTTTTAAAAAGAAGGGGGGCGCTTTCCTGGTGGCGCAGTGGTTGAGAGTCCGCCTGCCGATGCAGGGGACACGGGTTCGTGCCCCGGTCCACGAGGATCCCACGTGCCGCGGAGCGGCTGGGCCCGTGAGCCATGGCCGCTGAGCCTGCGCGTCCGGAGCCTGTGCTCCGCAACGGGAGAGGCCACAACAGTGAGGGGTCCGCGTACCGCAAAAAATAAAAAATAAAAAAATAAAAAGAAGGGGGGGTTTCCCTGGTGGCGCAGTGGTTGAGAGTCCGCCTGCCGATGCAGGGAACACGGGTTCGGGCCCCGGTCCGGGACGATCCCGCACGCCGCGGAGCCTGCGCGTCTGGAGCCTGTGCTCCGCAACGGGAGAGGCCACGACAATGCGAGGCCCGCGTAACGCTAAAAAAAAAAAAAAGGGGGGGGGGGGACCAATTACGGAACCAGAAAGTATTCACAGAAATCAGAAGATTATTAAATTTAAATTACTAAATTTACAAGCTCAACAGAAGATCTTAAAGTAGAATCAACAAAATAAATACAAAGCAAGAGAGCAATGCCTTGAAAGTTCCAAGAAAAAAATATTTCCTTTTTGTTTTCATAGAATTCTATTCTATAGTTTATTACTCAAGTGCAAAAGGCAAAATAATTCTCTGACACTCATACACCCTTGGGATGGGTGGGGTGGGCTGCTTAAGAATTCCAGAAAATGAATTCAAGAGATACATGAGCAGTAACAAAGAGGATCCAAAAGATGACTGGCACTGTAGCTGTGAAGCCCAATGCAAACATGAAGACTCATGTTCTTTTTCTTTTCTTTTTTTTTTTTTTTTTTGCGGTACACGGGCCTCTCACTGTCGTGGCCTCTCCCGTTGTGGAGCACAGGCTCCAGACGCGCAGGCTCAGCGGCCATGGCTCACGGGCCCAGCCGCTCAGCGGCACGTGGCATCTTCCCGGACCGGGGCACGAACCCGTGTCCCCTGCATCGGCAGGCGGACTCTCAACCACTGCACCACCAGGGAAGCCCCTATTCTTTTTTTTTTTAATTTATTTATTTTTTATACAGCAGGTTCTTATTAGTTATCAATTTTATACATATTAGTGTATATGTTAATCCCAATCTCCCAATTCACCCCACCCCGCTTTCCCCCCTTGGTGTCCATACG